AAAATTGTTTTTTTCAAGTTTTTTATTTTTTTCTGAGAATCAGTTCAACTAACGTAATCTTCTGGTAAGGAAAAGAAAATTTTCATTTTTTAAATTTTTTCCGACAATAGTCGATATTTACGGACAGCCTCTCTTAAATCTTAAACTGAATTTACCTTAATTTGTTCGAATTTTGGGAAGAGCAAAGGAAGATCTTGCAGCTAGTCTTGTATTATAATTATAAACTTATTGAGCATTTCACTGTGAGCTACAAGTTCATTAGACAAGCGAAGTATATTCATCTTGAGCATGGAGTTTTCCTTTTTTAGATCGGCAAATTCCTTATACAGCTTTTCGATTTTACTAGTGATTTCTTCGTATTTCTCGTTCGCAAATGATGGGTTGCAATCATTCCCAAGAGAGTTAAAAGTCAAAAGCATGGCTGCCATTGTGGTACCGTGGACAATGGATACTATAATGAGAAATCTTTTGTTAAATGGTACCAACATGGCCGCGATAAACGAAAAATTAAGTTAAAGTTTAGGCAAACAAACATGATTCTCTATCAAAATTATAAACACATATAAAGTAATAATAAGAGAAAAGAATTTGGAAATACCCTCGTAATGCTTGAACTGTTTCGTTGTATTTCCATTCCCAAGCATACATCTTTACAGCTCGTATTCCACAGATGATCTCGCTCATTACTGCCAATCGCTTGTCTGTGACTTTGGCTTGCTCAAGGCGAATGTTAGTATACAGTTGTGTGAGTAGTAAATTTATAATGATCAAGACTAGCATCAATAGAAGGCAAGACAAGGACGGCCAACCGACCAATAAAGGTAGAAGTACAACTACAACAACAGCAATTGGGGTTGATAGTGCTTCTCCTAGTGATATGCCTAACTCGTCCATTCTTTTCGCATCGTTGGACACTAGATTCACTATATGACCGGTTGTGAACTTGGAGAGATCGCTACGTCTAGATTCAGTTATCTGTGTCAATAAAATAACAACAACTGTAAGATTATAATAAATCCATCTGATTCCACCTTTAGCTCCCTATAACCTTACCGTTTTATGGATCAACCCTATAACAGCACTTTTCAACCTCACACCCATCAACACGGCCAAGTAATCAGAATGATGATAGAAGAACACTTTAATCAGACTTGGAATCCCAATGCTAGCAACTATACCAACAACGTAGGTCTGATCCATGTGGGATCCTTCTTCTAAGAACTTTAGATAAAACCACACTGATACTACCAAAGTAATCCCCATAGCTTCATCCACCAGTTTCAAAGCGGTAAAGAGAATGACATCTCGAAGGAATAGTTTGAACATGGCCTTCCAAAGTCGGGGTTTTCTGCCTCTCTTCTTAGCACTGTTAATCTCTTCCATCCATAACCCGTGTAACTTGGCCACTAGATCTTGTGCCTTGTTTTCGTCAGACAGCTCCAACAGATCGTCATAAGCGAGAGGTCGTTGGTATCCCAGTTTCAGGAGCCCATTTAACCAAGTAAAGAAAATATAGGAGAAAAGGCCAGTTTTCAACGTCTTGGATCCTGCTTCAGAGGTAAGGCGTTGATATTTTCCACCCATTTATCATTCACTGATGTCTCAGGATGATCTCCAATACTAATGAAGGAGTTTTAAAGCGTGTTATCGTTTAGAGAGCTAGGGATCAAGTTACTCGGTCAAACAAACACCTTCTTTCAATTGGCGCTCAAGACAAAAAGGGAGACAGCCAGTTTGATAGAATGATAATAATTCAAATGTTTTGCGTTTTAGTTTTTTGTTAATATTATTTTAGTCTTTTATTAATATCATAATTTATTTATTCATTTTTATTTATTCATTCATTTATTAATTTTTCAATTTATTTATTTGTTCATTCAATTATTTATTCATCCATTCATCCATTCATTCATTTGTTTGTTTGTTTGTTTGTTTCTTTATTTATCAATCAACTGAAAGAAAATGGAAAATGTGTATTTTTGGAAAGTTTGTTCGCTTTGAACAAAAATTAAATGAATTTATATTAACCTAAACATTACAAGGCNTTTGTTTGTTTGTTTGTTTCTTTATTTATCAATTAACTAGATAGTGTATTATCGTTTAGTTTCATTACTCTTAGATCTTGTTACTCACTCGCGCCATTTTCCGATATTTTTTCAAGGATCATGATATTTTAAATTATAAATAATATTATATCAACAAAACCAGATAGTCTTTATGAGGTAGAATTTATTTTAATTCTTTAGAAGTTTTAAGAACTTGATAATTTAATAAAATAAAATAAAATAAATAAACACCAGAAAGAACAAGGACAATGTGTATTTTTGGAAAGTTTGTTCGCTTTGAACAAAAATTAAATGAATTTATATTAACCTAAACATTACAAGGCTGACTGATGATCAATTGAAACAAATTCTTCATTTCAATTTCACTGCCCCTTGTCAATTTGGTCTTCGACGTTAGTCAGCAAATTGCTCACACGTTCGAGTGTATCCATGCTGTCTTACTGCGCAAATCTTTATGCGCTTCCTGCGCATCCATAGCCACTTCCCTGTATCTCTTTCTTTTCTTGTCACTCAGTTCAGCCTCTAAATATGATTAAATAAATTGCCTTTTAACTTCTATTTTAACTGTACTGGTGAACTGAACTTGTTTACGGTCGAAGCGTGTATCCACGACTTTGTCTCATTAGCATGTCTTTTTTAATCTAACAGTAATGATTAATGGTAAAGTTCCCACCGTGAAAAGATGAAAAAACGTACTGACGTTTCGGACGCTAGTAAGTTTATTTATCTTTTCATGGTGTAAAATTTACCCATTTTATCTTTACTGTTTCATTAGAAACACCGACGCAGGTCACACTAGTTTTTAGCTAGCTATCTCATATTTTAATCGATCTAACGCTTATTTGCAGGTTAAACGGCGATTATGTAAAATCTTATTAATGACTGTCAAAATTTTAATAATATTTTCAAACCTTCTAGAAGCCGTTTGAGATATCAATACTTAGCAAATGTGGTGTATTTTCTGAAGATAGTGAGGCATTTACACCAACTGCTTCACAAATCATGTAATAGGCGTAGTGACGGCCATCTACACAAAACCGCGAAAGCATTGCGTGACCATCGGCGACGGGATTATAAATACTGTGTGTGGATGTTAGTTATTAAAAAAAAAAAAACAAATCCAAATAAATACAGAGAAAACGAGTTTGAATTATAAATACTCTTATTATTCCTTCATTTTTATTTTTCTTATTATTATTTTCTTCTTTGCCACTCGTAAAAAAAAAGCTTGCCACTTGTTTAGATGTGATAGCTATGAGGAACTCATGCATCAGGATTAAATTACGGTGGCCCACAAGGGCAATACAAAAATATGAAATACAGTACAAATATATTAATGTCAGTACAAGAATGTGTATGGCAGAACACAAGTATGTATGCCAGACACTAAAAATATTTCCAAATAACAAAAATATTTCCGAGCACAAAAATATTACCGAGTACAAAAATATTTCTCAGTACAAAAATATTTCCCAGTACAAGAATATTTCCCAATACAAAAATATTTCTCAGTACAAGAATATTTCCCAGTACAAAAATATTTCCGAGCACAAGAATATTTCCCAGTACAAAAATATTTCCCAGTACAAAAATATTTCCCAGTACAAAAATATTAAAATAAATGGACTGGAAGCTACTCATGTTCTCCGCTTGCTGAGAACTGGGAACGCATTTGAAATGAAAATGGCGTCTAAAGATCGGTATTGTCACTTATGTGGGTTTAAGATAGAAAAGAATTTTAAGTTTTGCCCCAAAAGGAAATAAAGAACTACAAGACTCGTGTGTGTGTCTCTCTTTACTCGAGTAACTGTTAACTGATACACATACACCCGTGAGGGTTCAGATTACATTAAAGGCCAATGACGGATTATATGATAACGTCACAAAAGCAATCACAGTAGTTGCATTTTCATGTCTTATATCTTGAATACAAGTATACAGCAAATATTCTCAGAGATATGCTGAAATCTATGTTGAAGGAAACAGAGCCGTTCACAATGTAACGCCATCAACATCCTAATTAGCATAAACTTTTAAAATTATATGTCTTTCGAACCAAAATTGCTAACGAATAACGAGAAAACGCCAGTTTTCTTCTTTTGTAACGGTGCTTTAAAATGTGTTTAATTAAAGAAAAATTGGTCAGTTAAATTTCAACGTCGTGGCATGCGCACTGACAATGGTGGCTCTATTCCAGTATACTTGTGAATCAGTTCAGCAAACCAGTGTATGTAGCAACCTAACTACCAGATACATCAAATTTTATCAGACCTTCATGGTATGTCCCTTTATCAATCTTGARAAGWAGCCATTCTCTTTCCCAGCAAGAACTCTGGGATTATCGTATTCCACCACGTGACCATGGTCAAGAACCACTACCTTGTCATAGTCCATGATGGTGTTCACTCGATGAGCTATGGTCAGCACAGTACACTTGGTAAACTTTTGCCTGATTACTTGTTGAATGAGGTGATCTGTCTTGTAATCCACGTTGGCTGTTGCTTCATCCAGCACAAGTATTTTACAATTCTGTAATAATGCTCGAGCAAGACACAGCAGTTGTCGTTCACCGACACTAAATCCTGACCCTCCCTCCCCTACACAGTAATCTATCTGATGGTGCAGTTTGCTGACTTTCTTCATCAGTTGTACTTCATCAAGTGCTGTCCAGATGGCCTGGTCTGGAAAACGATTAAATGGATCTAGATTCTTCCTGAGACTTCCAGCAAAGAGCACAGGGTCTTGAGTGATAACAGCCATGGATCTGCGCACAGCCTGTATATCAATGGTGCCAAGATCAACACCGTCAATAAATACTTGGCCTTGAGGATCGGGCATCCGAAAGAGAGCAGCTACAAGAGATGACTTGCCTGCTCCAGTGCGACCTACGATACCAATCTTCTCTTTGGGTTGAACATCGAGGTTGATGTCCTTTAGTACTGAGGGTCCACCTTCTAAATACACCATGGACAAGTCTCGTATAGACAAAGAACCTTGACTTGGCCAGTCATCTGATGGTTTGTCTTGTCTGGTGTACCCAGGTTCAGAAGGTAGCTCAGTATACTTCATCACTCGTTCGACTGACGTCATTTGACTCTCGACATCAGTAGCCAGGCGTATACCGTATTGGGTAGTACCGAAGAGAGTGATAGAAAGTGACAGCAACATTCCAGCCAAACCTGAGAATAAAACGTTCGAAATAAAATTATGTTACCCTTACTATGTCAGATCTAATGGCACTAATCAAACATTTGCACGAAGTAATATTGGTATATTTACCGTGATCGTGAATGGCAATCAGTCCTACGATGGCTACCCCAACCAAGAAAAAGGCACACAGAAAATCCACGTACAGTCCAAGCCAGCGAGCTGTTGCCATGACTAGGAAAAAGGCTTTGGTGTGCTCATCTTGAAGCCTGGGAAATTAAAGTTATTAGTATGGAAGAACGACACTTGTACACTTCATAACTGTATGTGGAAGTAGGAGTTGTAAATGACTTTAAAACAATGAAAAGTGTCTCCTCCGAACTGAGTTGTTTGTAAGAGAGTAATGATGAAAAGGTAAGTTATACACCGTGAAAAGATGAAAAAACTTAATGACGTTTCGGACGCTAGTCCTTCGTCGGAGTAAAAGAGCTCTTTCACTTTCTTTACTCTTGCTCTTTTACTCCGACGAAGGACTAGCGTCCGAAACGTCAGTAAGTTTATTCATCTTTTCACGGTGTATAATTTAACTTTTCATCATTACTGTTTCATTAGAAACACCGACGCGGCTCACACTAGTTTTTAGCTAGTTATATCTGTTTGTAAAAGAGGTTACAAGCAGCAGCACCTGCCATGGAAGACTAAATTTTCATTACTTTCTCGGAACTTACGATAGCCACCCTGACCATGTTAAACCAAAGGCACTATTTATTTAACACATTCGCTTTTGACTATAGCAAATAATGCTATGCAGTTTTTTACCTTAACAATTTGTTGCAGCAATCTTCTTTGGCCCCTGATGTTCGAATGACTTCTAACCCTGTAATGGTTTCGGCAACATGGTCATAGACAGGACTGCATCTTATCGCTTCTATTCTCTTCAGCTCACGAGAACTCTTTAGATAATACGCAGCAATCAAGAATAACAGCATTACCAATGGAATGACAGCAACAGCGATCCACAGGCTAACTATCAAAGCCAGTAATATAACTATAGCTATATTCAAGCACAAAGGAACCGAATAAAGGAATTGGATCGGCAGCAGATCATCCATAGCACCGATATCTTTGGAAAAGCGGTTCATTATTCGTCCAGCAGGATTGGTATCAAAGAACAGAACAGGAGACTTGATAAAAGCAAGTGTCATTTTGTCGTGGAGCTTTCTTGTAGACCTCAAAATTGCACTGACAAAAGCCAAATCTTTTGCTAAGGAAAGAATCAACGATGCTCCAACCAAACCACCAAACACGCCCAAGGAGAAGGAATCTCTTTGGTCCTGTAGTGTCCTATGAACTATTCGTGACATCCACCAAGTTGGAACCACCAAAAACGCTACACGAATGAGAATGTACGTTAATATGAGTAAGCAACAGAATTAATGACCGGCTTTTGTCCATTACACACTATTAAGTGCTTCTTGGACAAAAATGAATGAAACTTTTCAAAAACAATTTTCTACATAAGGTTCTAACAAACACTGATGAAAGTTTTTTCTTAATATTCCGATGGAAAGTATTATATTTTCGCGAATCTTTAAAGTAACCAGTAACGTGATCAACTCAAAACTATGTAGGAGGAGCAGAATGACGATGATGATGATGATGATGATGATGATGATGCATATTAAGACGCTGTTAGTAACCATGCAGCTTCCAATCATGAGGGAATCGTTAGTCTATCAGTGTTATGCCTCAAATTGGGGCCCTTTCTTGGTGCTGGAAGGCGCCTGAAGCATGAAGGCAATAAAACAATAGCCAAAGACAATGAATTTGGAGCTAAACAATACTCTGCAAAACAAAAAACTCTAACCCAAAATACAATAAAGCTTCCTACACCAGGAAAAGACTCCAAATAGAGATCCACTACTTTACTACTTAATAGACCTCTTGAGCTTCGTATGCAAATTGCCCATCATATTAGATCACATGACATTCCCTTGAGAATGTTTTTTTTAATGAGAAACATGTTAAAATATTTACACATGAAAGAGTCAACTCCCAAGAGTGGCATCACATGGTCTGAAATGTGCGCAACAAGCAATAAAGGCCTATTCCACAGGTTCTTTTATCAGGTCCTCAATTTACAGGGTAAAGAAGGGTTTTGCGACTGAACCTACTGTTCCTTTTCCGAAAAAACATTATAGTCTAAATATTTGCTGATGTGATTAGCAAAAGTAACAACTTCTCCTATCAGTATTTAAGACCCTGAGTCACTTGGTCCGGTTGTGACTAGACCTTCCGCAAAACAGACCAAGTTCTTACAAGTTGAGCTAACTGTACGCACATTATATTTCATGTCAAAATACCTTGAATGAGATACCAAAGATATAGATGAATTTTGTTTCGTCCATGAAATTAACAATAGTAAACGTATGGCTATTTTTTTAGTCCAGGTAACCTTACTATTCTAGGAGTCTGAAAGTCTCCAATTGCCAAATTACCGCCAACCGCTTGGTTGGCCCAGCCGTTGGTTGAGCATCGGACTTTCGTACGGGAGGTTGTGGTTCGAATCCCGGCCGGACCAACAATCGGGTTCTTAAAATAATAAGTGATGCCTTTGCATACATCGACATCTTCATATACATCTGCAAATGGTTACACTTTCAAGTGGCTCGGATGACCACTTTAAATGGTGGTCCTGTCTCTCCGCACTTATCATTCTTAACCAACATCGGAGGGACSTAAAAGAACCACTGAGGACGTAAATAAACCCTGTCAGTGACCTCCTTCAGCGCCTACATCTCATACTAACCGTCTCTCATGTTTGTAAATTCCATAAAAAGCAATCTGAAATTCACTACTCAATGTAAAGCGCCTTTGATTATATCCATATAGAAAGGGCGATGTGTAAATCATAAATTATTCTCATAATAAATACCTTGAGCGATGATGTAAAATAAAGCAAGGCAAACAATGATAACAGAGGGTAATCCAGCCTTGAAAAACCTCCAGTACAAGCGCCAAGAAACCGTACCAGTAGCTCTGTCCTCATCTTCCTCCGTCATGTCTTTAGAATTATCATCTTTATAATGAACGACTTCTTCATACAATGTATAGTCGCTGTTAGTATCTTCATGTCTTTTCTGTAAGGTATCTACTACTCCGTTTTCGCTCAATTCCGAATATGTCCCGAGAACAACAGCACCCTCTCTTACTACTGCTATCTTGTCAGCTCGTGGAAGGTATTGTACTTGATGGGTCACCAGAATTCTTACTCGATTCGACAGCTCTCCACAGATACACTTATCAAAGATGTGTTGTCCAACCCTGGCATCAACTGCACTGAGTGGGTCATCCAGTAAAAAGATATCTGCTTCTGAGTAGACTGCGCGAGCTAGACTGAGTCTAGCACGCTGACCACCACTGAGACCTACGCCTTTCTGGCCAATGATGGTCAAGTCTTCATGAGGGAAGCACTTGATGTCTTTCTGAAGGTCACACATTTCTAGTATTCTCTTGTATCGAGACTCGTCAAATGGTCGTCCGAAGACAATATTATCACGAATGGAAGCCGAGAAGATCCAAGGTATTTGGCTAACATAAGCTGTTCGACCATGGACCGTAATTTCCCCTTCAGTTGTGGGAATTTCCCCAAGGATGGCCATCAGTAAAGAGCTCTTTCCACTGCCAACAGGTCCTGTGACYATAAGTAACTGGTTTGATCGTACTACCATCGAGACTTGGTGTAAAACACTCTTTTGTTGACTTGTCCAGGCTGCTGACATCTCGGTTATATTTACTCTGGGCTCAGTGTCCATTTCGATAAATGTTGCTCTCCTGCTATCAATATTTTTGGTAAAAGTCAAACTTCCAATTTGACAAGGTTGGGTATCTTTGGAATATATTATGGCACTTGTACTTGTTTTAAATAATGTAGGACGATTACATAGGAATTTCTCAATCCTGTTTATGGAAACCATAGAATCTCTCAAGTTGATAAAATGAACAGCAATCTTTAAAGCTATGCATTGGGCACAAATGTCTAATATCATTGCCAATGTAAAAGCCCTAGCAGCATCTACTCTTATCCCACTGTACACTAACGCCACCACACACACCAAGGTTGCCATTGGGGTTACGTTATACGTTAGCATCTGGAATGATGCTCGTATCATGTTCTTTTGTTTGTTACAATTGACTTCTTTTCTGGAACAAAGAAAAAAAGAATGTGAACAGTGCGAAAGACGCTATCAGAATGCAAATGGCCCTTGGTATTGAATGTCTTTTGAATAGACCTGTGTTTTACCATTTCAAACATCCTGTCATTTCTAAAAGTCTTTTAATATATTTTGCATGATGAGAGTACATATCATAGTAGAAGTAAAATAAGCAAATAAAAATGGGGGTCACCCCCTTTGTTTATCTGTCAGAATGCGTGGAAATTCGCCCTTTTTACGGTAAAAACGTGCGAACAACGTAAACATGGAAAGATTTCACGAATAACCCATATTTTGCTGAAAAAATAAATTGATCGCCCCCCATTTTTCACATAACTCTAGAAAATTAAAAAACACTAGTTAGCATTTAATTTTTTTCTTAAAAATTAGAAATATGAAATGTTATTGGGCTACAACTATGGACTCTAAGCCTCGTGTTACGTGAAATTGTATTCAAATTATGAACAAAATATGTAATCTAATCAGATTTTTTAAATTTCTCCTCTAAATTTAGGTATTATACAAAGTACTTTAAAAAATAATAAGTAAATAAATAAGACAGGGGCTTCCCCGAATTTGCTTAAAGTGTATATCAGGTCTAGAATTTTTTTACGGTTTTGTCATCTCTAGATGATATAGATAAATATTCCAAAAAAAATTTTTCGATTTCGAATTTTTTTCAYCTCGAAATCAGCCTTCAAAGTTAGATTTCTGGCGACGCCCAGTCGTGTTGGCCGTGTTTTAGGAGACGCTAATGGACTGGCACTAGTTTTTCTGTGACGTAAATTCGGTGACACAGTTTAGATCGGCCTTTCGAAGTATTGTAAATATGCCTAGTAGGTGCGTGGTTGGAGG